AACCAAGTCTGACTAGGATTCGAAATAGATTTCACCACCGCAAAATCACATGTATGCAGTAGAGGTTAAAGATGGCTTCTGCCACCTGGAGGCAGATCACAGGCTAGGCAAGAAGCCTTCCTGTCATAGGCTATTGGTTGAAGATGAAGAAACTATTATCTTTTAAGTCAGAGTGTTTAATTTCATGGTACTTGCTGTATTTATTTTACAAGCATTTAGTAAATTTTTGCTTAAAACTTGGAGCCTTTTCTCAACTTCTGTGTGATGTGCTAGATTGTTGTGAATGTTGGGGATATATTAATGAAAAGAAAGGTGTCTGCGCTTATGAAACTTACGACTCATGGGGGGGGAATCAGAAAAAAAAAAGTAATTTGAGGAAGATATAATCCATTGATTTGGGTCAGAGTTGTAAAAGAAGACTGGTGTTCTCCCTGGGAGGCTAGAAAAAGGAAATTAGAGAAAATGAGATTATCACTACTGCAAAGCCGTTTTATCACTTTCCTGCATGCCTTGCTAGCTAGGGTGACCAACCATCCCAGTTTGAATGGACTGAGGGGTTTCCTAGAATGCAGTACTTCTAGTGCTAAAGCTGTGACAGTTGGTGACCCTATTTCCAGCCCATGACCATTTCACTCCTCCTCCTCCTCCTCCTCCTCCTCCTCCTCCTCCTCCTCCTCGGGGAACTGTTCTCCCAACCACGGGGTTGGGTCTTGGTAGCCCTTTTTGTCCTGTGTCACCCTGCCAACCTGGCTATAGTAGAGATCAGGACCCAGTATTAGCCAATGTTTATCTAGAGAAGTTGGCTGAGGAAATTGCTCACAATCTAACTGCATAGTTCTGTAGTGAAGTCTCACATGTTTCTGTCACTGAGGTCTCTGGAACAAATCTCGTGTTTGACCTTTCGGAAGCCTGTTTTTCTTTTAAATCTCTGAGGGTACCTGATCTCCTTCTGAGTTCTCTTCCTTTGCCACCATTTTTGCTTAACCTAATTTAAATGGATTTTCTTTACTGTTACCAGAAACTTAACTAAGCCAATTGTCCAGGAAAGAGTATTGCCAAGTCAGGACAGACTGCTCTTGTTCTTTAGTTAGAAGTGTTCCTAGAATATTCCTCGGGTTTACTGGAGAGATCTTTTGGGAATAGCTAACTACCTGGTTATAGAACTGTATTTTCATCTCGAGTGGACCTACCCACCAAATATATTCCTAGTTTCAGATTAATTAAATTGGTATTCTGCTTCATTTCGGTATCCCTTTTCTTTTTGGAATGGCTCAAAGTGTCTGGATTCTGTTAAAACTGGAGTGTGACACACAACCTCATCATCTTTCCCAAGGGCATGTTATTTGTATGCAGTAGGTGTGCAATGAACACTCAGATGAGTAACTGACACCTCTAAGCCTTTTGTTAATTGGGAGGTATTGCATATTCTGCTCTACTTTCTAACCACAAATAATGCCCTCCCACTTAACCATTGCACTTGCAGAAAAATTGTGGCCTTTGCAACCACTCCCAAGCACACCTCGTGCTGTATCTTCTTTTGTTTTGGCCTTGGATACTTCACTGCACATGCTCTAAGCTTTGAAGGCTATCAGTAGGCCCTACCTGAACTACCGTTGTGTACCTTAGCAACCCCTCTCCCATCTAGTGTCACTCAGATAAACTTCAGCCTGTCTGTGGATTCGTCTGCAGCCACAGTGCTGATGCTTTCCTGGGACCTCACCTAAGCTGAACTCCACGGGACTTCTTCCTAGGCCTATTTCAGCACCCCTTAGTTTTATCTGTGCCTCAGCATCAGCTGAGGTAGGTTTCTGGGGTGGGGGTGGGGGTGACCTGTGGGCTGCCCTCCAGACCTATGGAATCAGACTGTGTAGCTGCACTCATAAAAAGCTCCCAGGTGATCCTGATGCACTACTGGCCTACCCACAGCAGGCCCAACTCTGGGTCCTTGGGAGGCCTTTCAGCAGGTTCTTCCTTCCCTCTTCACACTTTTAGGAACTTGAAAACTTTTTTCTGACCATTCTCATCATACTCCTTACCATTATATGGACACCTCAGTAGGTCCTGATGTAAAATACATCAGAGACTGTTTATCCCATTACCTCAAAGAAAACACGGACTACTCAGGATTAAGCATGTATTTATTTTAGTTCAGTTAAAACAAACATACATTGTTTCATTGAAACGGTGTAGCACTCTTTGCCAACAAGTCCTAGTGGAAGTGTTGGCCTCTAACAGTACAGTGGGGGTATTTACACTATATACATAAAGCTAACACACCCAGGTTCTCAAAGATCTTTCATTACACTAGATCACATTTGATTTCATTACACTAGATCACATTTTGAAACTACTGCATTTTGAAAATTAGACCTTATTTAAAATTTAAATAAGAGATCTGAATTTGCACCAAGTTTTCATGAAAAAATGTGATGTTCATCCAGTCTGTTTATTGCAAATACAACTTAAAGAATACTTTAAGGTTTTAGTGTTTACATAATTTGTCAATTTGTTTATATTGAAATCTCTGTACAGGTACTTTGGGGACAATTCTTATAGATACATAATGTGAATTCATCAAAATGCAGTTAAGAAACTTACAGGAATATATACACTTGAACCCAGACCCAAACCTGACATTATATACATTATATATTACAAATACATATGGACAGACAATGTATGTACAGATTATCATAAATATTGAAAAATAGGTTAGCTTTAATGGATTAATGCTGTTCTATAAATAACATTACAGTTATAACTGAAACATCCACGGAAGACAGTAATGCAAAATGAGGTGACAAGACAGTGGTTTTAATACTGAAGACTGCTCATTAATGGGAATTCACTGTTTAGGAACCTCAAGGCAGACAAGATAGCTCCAAGAATATCATGCAATGGAATTTACTCTAGGCAGTTCATTTTGAACCTCAAACGGCCAAAGAGGATTGAAGGAGCCTCCCCACATCAATTCACTGTGAGAAGAAAATTCTTTTTTCCATTCCTTTCTGGTTGCCATGGTAGTTTCTCCCACATTGAAAGGATGTAAACTGTAGAAAACAACTCTACTTGGTATATTCCCTGGCAGGTCTCAGATACAAAGTCGGCAATCCTTCCAGGAACTCAAGTAGAAGTGCCAATTCTTGGTCTGAACTAGAGGTGAGGTTCTGGATTTGAAGGGAGTGCCAAAGCCCAATTAAATGAAAGCAGTGCTGTAGAATCCATCTTCTCACTGCCTTTCTAGATGGTCCCCAATTACTCAATTTTTGTAGAAACAAAAATGGACCATTGGTTTCACCCAATGTAGCACTACAAGACGTCTTCCAGTTCCATCCACAAGGGTCTTTACAGACACATCCTGTCTGCAATTTACTCACATATAATACAAGAATGTGTAACAAGAACCATGTCTGCCACATTTCTGGCCCTTGCCTACAACTAGAAATGCTTAGTTCAAGAGAAAACCTTAAGAGCCAGATGACCAATTAATGATTCCATTATTTGCTTCCCTCAACCACTAATGGAATTATGTATATACTGGATTTTAGACATTATGCCTGATGAGCAAAGTACCACATTATTTAATATATTCACCATACACCATAACGTACAATAAATGTGCTCTTAAAGCCAAGTAATTTTTTTCACTTCTAACTGGCATTGAAATGGCAGGGTGCACATGCAGTTGGACCAACTCCTTACACTCAGGTTGCACTGGTTTCCCTAGCTAACCACTTGTTGGATGTAAACAATTCTGTGTTGTACAAGAATGAGATGACAATCCAGTGCAAATGAGTTTTTAAAAAATTACTGCATGAGAAACCCAGTGGCCTATACAAAGAGAACTTATACCAAATATCGGTGTAACCTGTGAAATTAGACCTCTACTGCAGACAAAACATGAACACAACTAAGCCATACATTATCAAGTAATTCACACTTCCAGGAGCAGATGAGCATTTTGAAAAGTTGCACTCTCTGGATACAATAGTTTTGGCCTGTAGCCATCAAATGCTCATTTTCCACTGCTGGAAGCAATGTCAAAAAAGGGCTGGCCCAAAAAACCCAGAGCTGTCAATACAACTCTGGAGACAGATGCAACTGAATAAACCCTGTTTTACCCAATTGCACTATTTGGTACCTCAAAATTAGTTATTTTACTTTCCACAGAAATATTTGCATTGTATCTTCCATTCTAACAGACTGAAGCCATAAATATCTCAGTCTGAACGAAGCAAATTATTTGGGGCCACAGAAGAAAAGTGATGAACAAGTTCACCTGATTTGGTATAACAATATTCAATTATTCTTTAATGGTGAAGTCTGAATGGAAAAAACTATGCTCCTATTCATGGTACAATTTTTCATTACATCATTTTCTCTAAAAATTTTTTGGGTAAAAAAAGTATTTGGCTTATTATGCCTACAAAAAGGCAAATAATTTCATAATACTAACATTTGTTTTTAAATACCAATGAGTTTTTCTTAATGGAATTTGTTGACAGTTGTTTTTGGAGAAGGTTTAAAAAAAAAGCAATTTTTTTAAAAGTAAAATAGTGCTTCTGAGGTCTTTAAATATTTTTGGTACAAAAACATAATAGTGTTTTCCTCAATGGTTATTTCAATACTTTGCTGTAAATTAATAAGAACTGTTTCTCACATCGAATGGTTCCATTAGGCACATTCAAGTAAAATCATAAAATATCCAAGTTAAACAATGACACAGCCAAACATGTGGCTTGATAAGAGTTCGTCCATTCTCTGGAATGGAATAAAATTGTCACTTCCATTAACCCGAGACTCGTGGTTTTGTTGTTAATATCCATTTCTAGTATACAGAATAATTTCTTTAAAAAGAAAAAAAAAAAGTTCACTTATTCTGCACTCAGAAGAACCAGCGAGGAATCTGCACTTCAAAAGGAAGTGAAACTGAAAACATTAGGTGAAATTTCATAGTGAGTTGAGTTGACTCAACACTGGCATCAAGTGGACTATGGGAGTTTCAGTGGTGCCAGTTAATGGCCACCTCCATGGGCATTGTGCACCCAATCCAAAACAATCAAGGCCATGCTTCCGGTCATCACCACTATGCCACTTAATAGGAAGAACACAGCCTGCAATGAGCAAAGAGAAATTGATCAGCAAGCAAAGAAATATATCCACTCAACATTCCTTCTTACTTTTAAAAACAGTCTTGTAATTACTAAAATTACGCTGACAGCATTTCACATACCTTGCTAACTTGCTAAAGATATTTAAACTGTTGTTAAGGTACCAGGGGGTTACCTGTAGTACAAAATAAGTCTACTTTTGAAATCTTCCAAAGTTTTGCTTTTTCATTCCTTTGTCTCAAATGAAAAGGTAAATAAATGTTCTGTGCTTAATAAACTCCTTCATGTAATAGAATGGGACTGATTTTTTGTTTTGGGTTTTTTGCATTTTTTAAAGCAAAAACTTCAATCACAGAATCAAACCGAAGTCATCCTAAAATGCAGCCTGCATCAGAGCCAGAAGTTTTCCAAAGAGACAGGAGTAACTTTACTCCTAATTCTACCCCCTGCAATTATTGCCACTATGTATTTTGAATAAAACAAGATGGCGGTTTTTTTTTTTATAAGCAATTCTAGTTCTTTAATCAGACTCGAATTGTAGCAGAGTAACAACTAAAAAGCAGTCTTCTCCCTAAATAGCCCCACCACCAGTTAACATATCATATTCTTTTTTTTTTTTTTTTTTTTTTTTTTTTTTTTTTTTAGCGTTTATTTATTTTTGAGACAGAGAGAGACAAAGCATGAACGGGGGAGGGTCAGAGAGAGGGAGACACAGAATCTGAAACAGGCTCCAGGCTCCGAGCTGTCAGCACGGAGCCCGACGCGGGGCTCGAACTCACGGACCGCGAGATCATGACCTGGGCCGAAGTCGGCCACTTAACCGACTGAGCCACCCAGGCACCCCTAACATATCATATTCTTTGTAAAATTAGTTGTTATTCCACTTTAAAGTACGTTATGGCACTCTGAAGTGTTGTGACAGCTCCCCACAGCTTTGCTTTGAAGATGGTTAGTTCTGTTCTCTCCTTTAACAAGAAGGCCTATTTGAGTGTCTGTCACAAGGGGCACTCCAGCAAACACCAGTTAAACTACTACTGAAAGCTGAGTCAGTATCTCCACTCTTTATCTCTATTCCTCTCTCTAAAATATCTCAACAGCTTTCCTGCAATTAACTTAGGCTTGCATTAGAAGCAAAATGGTCTTTCACCGCCCGTCCCCCAACCTTCCACCTGTATGCAGAATATACCATTATAGAACTATTTGCTAGAAACTCATAAGTATAACCACAACAAACAGCTAAGAGACTAAAATTAAAACCAGGTGAGGAAATTCTGGTTAGAAGATTACAGTTTCTGGTAGTCAGGGTATCTCACTCACCCCAATCTTCTGTACGGATTTCATAGGTTCTTTCTTCACTAGCTTGATATAAAAGGCAGATGGAAGAATAAAAATCAACATAGCAGCTGCAGATGCACCTGTAAAAGAAAATTTTCTTGACAAATTGTCTTGACAAATCAGTGAGTCGCTTGTCATTCATTTTTTAAACTTTAAAATCCCTGATATGTGAAAAAACTTCTGACACTTGCTCAAACTTACCAATGAAACCAAAGATGTCTCTAATAGTTGGGACAAAGATAACAAGCAAATTGGTAAACGCCAAAATAGACACTGTAATGAGACTATGACGCCACCAACTGAAATCTTTTGCTGCACACAACAAGTGAGTTATGGAACTCCGGATCTGCAAAAGAAAACGCATACAGAAATTACAATTCCAGCTTTGAATTAATGGGAGAAAAAAATCCCAAATAATGGGAAATATATCTAAAAAAGCAGCTTTCTAAATTGTTAAATTGTGTCCCTTCCTCTGCTGCTGTTTCTTTAACATCTGGATGCCGGAAGATCATTTTAGATCTTCAATTATGGAAAAAATGCCCCAAGATGTTTGGAAAATCTACAAAGTTAAAAAAAAAAAAATCCCTCGAAAACGACCATCAACTTGGTGTTGCTCACAAATCTCCACATGTTTAAAAACGCATTCCTACTGAATGAAAGCAGAGCAGGGAGGGGATTACTTACCGGGAAAATCACTACTGGTACTGTCAGAGTGACAGCCACTAGCACAGCCAGCCGAACGATGAGGAGGAGGATATCAGTTCCCATGATAGTAGAGTAGGTATGAAGCAATTCTGACTCCACATGTTCTATGGGGAAAGACAAAAAAACAAAACAAAAAAAAAAAAGCTTCAAGTGTGCCATTTCCTCTAGAGATCAGGTAGAAAATCTAACAAATCTAACTTACAGCAAATTTACACCAGTTATTAGCTACTCACAAAACGACTATAAACTAAGAGGCTAATAAGATTAATTTGGAATTAGGGTTAATGCAATTAAAATAACATTGAAGGGAAATTTTCCTAAATACCAAGCAGATTTAGCCACATGACCCCCATCAAAAACAACAGGAGCTAAATAGCTAAATCCCATGGTCTGGCTTACAGTTTGTGTTGTATAACAGAAAGGTGATTGGAAGAGGAGGTGGGGAGGATGAATGTAGGTGCAAGCGCATCACATACAAATACCATCACATGACTAATGAGATGAACCTGGACTTGAGAAGTCACAGATTAAATACACTATATTCCTATAGTCTAAAGCTCCAAATTCAGGTTCTCATCACAGATATGAAATATACCAAAATAGACAGAATACAAGTGATAGATTATACACAAGAAAGTATCGATTTTATTTCACAAAGTGTCTTTTTCTGAAATCCAGACATTATTTACCATAAAATGTCAGGTATCCAAAGAGGGCAGCAAGCAGGTACATGAGAAACATAGCGAAAAATGAAATCTTGGACACATCCATCATTCTTCTACGGCTGCGGCTGTGTAAGTTCAGAGAAAAATACAAATCTGTATTTTAGCAGTAGTTATCGCAGTAATCTAATACTTTTCTAACTTTCCCAACGAATGTATATAAAAATAAGTAAAGCACTCACCCTTTCAGCTCTTCATAAATGGGAAGAATAGCAGGATGACAGACAAATGAAAAGGTCAAAATTGGCACAGCGTAGACAGTCTGCAAAAAATAAAGTAAAAATTTACTTAAAATCCTTATGGAACACGTTGTGTTACCACAGTTTTGCAACTTCTATTTTGTATTAATGAATTTTAGGATCAGAACCTCAAAGTCTCCCTTGCATAATTAGATTCCCTTCTAATCTGTTCACTAAGTGTGACCAACATCCTAACTTCTAAATGTGTCAATTATTAACATCATAGGATTAGTTCATTTCTCCATCTATATTAAGATACAAACCTACGGCTTTCTTCTCAGTCCTCAATAATTCAATAACTAGCTACTCATGGTTGAAGAGTAGCTATTAACTCTCCTCCCTTTTCCTTGGGAACTAATTTCTGGTGGAGAGTTTCCCTCTCTTCTTCCCTAAAATCTTACTTTAAGGAAATAAAGACTATATTCAGTTACCTGGGAGTTGAAGATAAAATAACGTGGTTTGCAAGTATCGTCATCAGTCACATTAAATACCATCTCAGGTGCAAAAGCTGTTGGCTGTGTTAAGGTGCTGTTTACGGTTTCGTTAATTATCAAGGCAACTTCCACAGGACAAGGGATCTGGAATTTCTTGCAAATCACCTGAAAACATTATTTTGCATTTGTTAAATTGAATAATTTTGCATTTGTTAAACTGAATAGTGTGACTGGGCTCATAAGAGAATCTCTAGTGTTACAGAAAAATTATACCTACCACAATCAGAAAGAACATCATGCACAGTAAGGAAAGGCCACTGGTATATCCCAAATATCCTGTAAGAGGGGCAGAAATTAAACTTTAATTCAGCAGATTGCAGGCAAATATATTTTCTCAACTAAATAACTCAATGCTGCCTAGAAGACTTTAGTATGAACACAATACGAAATTTCTAATTCTTATATACCCAGGTATAGAATTATGTAAAAATAAATAACAGAAAGAGTGGAAACTTTCATTTTGTATGATTATTTATGAAGCAGAGATATTATCAAATGTCAACAAGACATTCTAGCCCCTGGCCACAGGATTTTGAAAGGCCTACACAGGGGTGTATTCTCCCGCTTCCAAAGTTATGTGTTGGGGACCTTTTGGCTTTCCGTTTCTATTAAGAGCAAGCCAACTAGCTGGTGAGAGGCTCATTTCAATTCTTTTGAGAGGAGTTTGCTCACCTAAGTTTCTCAGCAGTGACAGAGGAAGAATGAGCACCAGCGACACCAGCAAAACCAAATAGTCACCGTTCAGATACCACAGTCTGAATTAAAGAAAAGAGAAACAAGGTCAAAACCAATCACGAAAATCCCCAGAACGTTAGACACATCTTCTCCTGGGACTCATTTTATAGAAATACTATAAAAATAAACACACAAAAAAGACAAGTTTGGAAAAAGTGCCGCTTATTCACAGACAGAGCATAGGCAGGAATAAATGTCTAACTCTGTGCTAGCTGAATATTCACTCAGGTTAGAAATGGGGTGTGAACAGTATAACTTTTGTCCCACTGTCTGCTCTGGGAAGGCTGCCAGCTGATTCATAACATAAAATGCTTCTTAAAGGCTTGATACTAATGTAAGGAACAAAGCAGCATTGTTAGGCCAGTAATCTTATCTTGAAGCATTTTTAGAAGAACTGTACACCAACTCTGTAACAGATAGCTTTAGAGCCTGCAATTTTTAATGCTAGAGACAAGAAAATTTAAAACAAGTTTCTTTCAGACATCCATTAGCACAAGTACTTATTCAACACGTCAACAAGGAGACTTTTTCATACTAAGGTAAAATACACAGGCAAAGAAAAGACAACAAAACCCAATTCCCCAAACCAGGATTTATTCCAGGTTGTCAAAAGTATGTTGTGACACCATGACCCACCTTGACTCCAAAAACAGTCAAAAGGTCCCTTCTGAACTTAGAGAAAAGATTACCCATGTGTCCTAAGAGTTCTAACGAGGTCTCTTCCTTTCCAGGTAATCAACCATACCCTCTTTTAAATAGCCGTTTCCAAATTCTAAATGCCCTGTGAATTCTACTCCACTTACTTCGGCAACAAAGACCCCACAGAAAACTAGTGTTTAAGGTGGCTTATTAAATTTCTCAAGCCAAAGAGATAACCACATTGCTCTACTTTGAGATAATGAGCTGCAGGCGGGCAAGTGAATGATCCTTCCCCATGTTTACTTTAGATAAAAACCTGTTCCTCCACTGGGAGGAATAACTTTGCTACAAGGATAAGGCTTCCACAGTGTGGTCATACATTTTCTGGTATTATACATTTTGAACAGATTTAAGCTTTAAGAATTTCAAATTTACAAAAAATCAGACAGGATTGGTCTTTAACATTACTCAAAGCTTCAACCTCACTTAGGTTGGAGTATGTGTTATTCAGCTACAATCTCTCAATGAATATAAAAAAGTGAAGTTCTAGAAAACCTGTTTTCACACACAGGTTACAGAAGTTATTCAGAGTTACAGCACTAGCTTCAACCTGCCCTCTTTCTTAAGAGTTCAGCTCAGTTGATGGGGGACTTCTTGCTCAATTTCAACAGGAACACTTATGGAAAAATTATTGGTAATTATTTTGTATCCAACTTTGATAAAATGTATCTAACCATTTTAGACTATAATTTTTCTTATGAGTAACCTTACTTAGCACCTACCCAGTTGTATCTTCAATGTTCATTAATGCCTGGATCACCAAAGGTAACTCATATTTCACTATGAAGAGGTAGCTTGACATAGCTGGAGGAAAACAAAATTATACCATTACAAGTGCAAAATGTGGCATGTGACACCGAAAGTAACGTGTCACCACTCTGTGCTACACAAAGAGCAAAAAGTCTACCCAAATCACCTTTTAAAAATCCTTACCTCCAATGTTCTGCATTGTGATTGATCCAGAGGCCGCAAGCTTTCCAACTAATCCAAATGCTTTATGTCCCAACTGTTCGTATAATAAAGACCCTGTAATATGAAGAACACAGAAGCATGAAGGGAGAAAATCGTGACAGGCATAAATTGTTTTAGAAATCTCAAGAATGCTACCATACCTCCTTCATTGGCAGTTTTCAAAAGGAGATGAACAGAATACAGGGAAAATATGGACACAAATGTCAAGAGAATTCTGATGAAGAGAAGGAAAAGGCACAGGGTTATCAATAAGCACAGCTGTATTTAAAGACCATTCTTTTGCTTGTAGCTACACATTAAATATGGAACGTAACGTGTCCTAATAGTTCTTGCGCTAGACAGAAAGCCTCCAAGGACTGGTGTTTACTCTCCTGGCTAGAGTGTCATCTTTTCTTACCTGGTACTAAAAACTTGCACCGTGTCTCAGGTGTTAGTTCTACAATACTGGTTAAAGCAGGGGTTTACCTACGGACTCAAAGGTGTCGGGAGACCCAGGAAAACTCAACTTTAAGGTGGTGGACTCATGAGACTTGAACTTTGATTCTGGCACTGTAATATTTAACTGTATCCTTGCCACTTCTCTGCATTTTAATAGTTCCTTTTATCTATAAAATGGTGGTAATTATCTGCCAGTAAACCCAGCCCACAAGGCACTTGTGAAATGCAACGGAGACAGGTTCAGGAAAGATCTTGAGACCACCTGGACTACATAAATAAGAGGAGGAATGGGACTATAAAGGGAAAAGAGATAGTCAGGCACAGCTTTACAAACAACTGGGCACAAGTCAGAGAAGTAACCACTGTGACAATATACCATATTGCCCACCATGGTGTAAATACAGGCCCAGTAATATGACAAAGTTAAACAATGCCTGTGCTAGAACAAGCAGGCTATCAGTTGACTGGGCTATCTCCTCCCCTCCATCTGGTGGAACAGAAAAAAAGTTAAAAAATAGGGAGGAACTAAAGGTTCCCTAATGTCACTTAGTTTTAAGGGCACAAGTTCTTTCTCATTGCAGCTTTACTTTCCCCCCCTCCTGGGTAAGCCAAGAAAAGTATGGATTTCATTTTATTAAAAAGAACAACAACAAAAAAAAGTCAAAACCAGAGAAAGCACAGAAAACTCTGCAAACAAGAGAGCCCCTTTTTTTGATTCTGTACACGAACACTGAATATGGTACCATATCAGGTCTGGCAAAGAACCGGATGTCTGTTAGTTAAAACCTACGTGGTTGCATTAAAACTGCCATTCTCATGCCACAGGTTTCATGGGGTCTAGTCTGAGGTGGAAAAATGACACCATCAGCCTTACTTTTACTTCTAACTGTACAAAGTTGTTGGTGTAATCAAAAGCAATGTTCAAAGTATGTTGACAAGTTCAGCCCTTCTTTCTTACACTGAAATTACAATGAGGGATGAATGGACTTCATAACCTTTGAGGTCACTTTCAATTTCAAGACTGAGTCTGCCTAATAAGCGTAGCTAGAGTTGTTTAACCAGACTATGGCAGCCACGTGGCTTTTGGCCCATTTACCTCCATACCTCTATATCCTCTAAATATACCTTGTAAGATACTGATGGGATTAAACACTCACTTCATCACTCCTGATGTTATTTAACCATTTATTAAAAAGGTTAATCAAACACAGAGACTTTACCAAAGTATAGGTAATTTCAAAAGTGCAAGGGTAACATCAGAATTTTGTTTTCACTTATGAAACAGGTGCCATTTTGTCTTGTGTAATTATATCATATAACCATACCAGCAGCCTTTAAAGACTATCTCTGGTTTTTATAATAAGAGCCAGGAAGGACTTCAAATATTTAACAATGACGCCATTCAAGCTCCCCAGTAAAAACTTTGAAACTCTAGGGTCCTTTCGATGTAAATTCCTGGTACTTCCCCTTAGTAAGAATTCTCAAAAGCTTCATGCTAAAGAAGCAAGCTGCTGGAATCCTAGCTTCCAATGCTCAAAGCCAGGCTTAACTTCAGTGTGGAATTTCACCACAAAGCAGAACTTTGCAAAGGTCTGCTTTTCCTTTCATGAACATGCTATTCTGCTGGAGAAAATAACTTGAGTAGATGGCACCAGGCAGCTAACTAAAACACATCTGTCACAAAAGGGACAATTCCATACTCCCTGTAAGGTATAGTTTCCTCATGTGCACAATAAATCACACTATCTTCTACAGAACTTGCCTTAGCCAGGAGCCCATAGGTACTTAACAGCTATGATACAGACATCACTGAAAATGTATGGTCAAATTTACATGTACTTTTGTACTTCTTCTTTTCTGGACATAATGTCCACACTTGTCTTATTTTCCAAGGATTAGTGACCCCACATCAGTTAACAACCACTGTCTTCTATAGCCCCCAAATTCTAGTCTAGGCATTTATGCTAGAAAGCACTGGAATAAATAATTTTAGTTGGGCAACTAAGGAAAAAAAAAAAAAACATTTAAAAGCAAGTACTTATTAAAATATTTATTTCTTTGCTATGGCATGTAGCAACCACACAGACCTGAAAGAAATAAATATTAAAAAGGAAAAAAAAAAACAAAAAACAAAACCACACCACATATGGGTTCTTTCAGTGTCCAGAAAATTATGACTCACTTTTCTTAGAACAAATATGTTCCAGGTTAAGCAAATACCACCACACCCTATATATTTTAAAGTCTGTTTTCCTTATGCAAAGGTTCTTGGGGAAACTCATTTATAAACCAATTTGGAAGTACCATGCTTATTAGTATTTTTGCTTTCCATTTTGCCAGAACAAAATTTCTAACCACCTTGGATTTATCAATAGTTCTTCACAATTCAACCCGTTACAACTTTTAACTATTCCAATTGATTTAAAGACTGTTGGTTTAATTATTAGTTTTAAGTGTTGTCCTACTTCTTCCTAATTGGCTTTCTTGGTATCATGCAGTTACACATCAGAATAAAGAGGTTTTTGGATTTTTCATTTTAAATTTCACACAAATGATTTTTAAGTCAACTACTTCAACTGTAAATTCCATCTCTGGAGCCAAAAGTATGTTTTATTGTCATATTAACTGCCCTGCATGGCAGACTCACTACTTACACATACTTACATAAAAAGAGCAATTCCAGTATTAGCCATGGCATAAGAAAGCCCAAGGATTCCACTGCCCACAATCGCATTGCTCAGATTAAATACTGACATTCCAAAGGAAGTAGTACCTGGATGCTACATAGAGGGAAAACGATAACCAAACATATAACAATAATTAAATGGAGAAAACCAGCTTTGGGCAAGTTAGATTGAAATCTAAACGTAAAACTATTCTTTTACTCCATAAAGCCACAGACACACAAATTATTATTTTCAACTTACAAAGTCTGTTTCATACTTCTTCTTTCCCAAATTCGATTCAAGTAAGAAGTTCTGGTTTTCAGGATCTACATCTGCATAATGGCTGTGAGGTTAAAAAGAAAAAAAGAAGAAAAAGGGTAAACCTGAACTGTTTTTGAAATATACAACGGAATGCCTGAACACAGACTGCCCTTTAGTGCTGTCACACACCTTTAGTAAAACGCCTAAAAATTAAGTAGGAGTCGACTTTCACACGAAATACTGTCACTGCGACAATCGGATACTCTTTCAGAGATTACACACTCTCCAAATGCTACAGTAAATTAAAGCAACAGAAGCAGAGTCGGGGGTAAAGAACCCCGGGCCCCCTCCCCCCCAGCCGTTTTAAGAAAAAAAGCACACAACTTCTCCTACCTTTTCAGAGCAGCTTGCTTGGTGGGATAGGAGTAGTTGAAGTCGCTGTTGGAACTGTAGCTGCTGCTGTCCTCATCCGGGGAAATATTGAACCTTCCCATTTCGGCTTTCTTCATGCTGGCACCGGGAGGAAATAGGGTACAGCGATCAACACTGGGCTCCTTTTGTCCTTGGCAGTGCACCGGCCCGCGCGGCTGCCTGCGAAGAAGGTAGAGGCGGCGCGTCAGGACTGCAGCGCCCGCCCGCCCGCCGTGGTCACGTGACGCCGCGGGGAGGCGCAGCGCGGCTGATTCATCCCCGGCCAGGCGAGTGGAAAAGTACCAGCCGAGCGAGATGGGCGGGGGCGCGCCAAGGGGCGGAAAAGTACAGACAGCGAAGCCGCGAAGAACAAAGATGGTCCCACCGCGGCGATGTGCCCGCAGAGGCCCGTGCCCTTCGGACCCTCTCCAACGGATTTTGGTACTGCACCCTCTCCATTATCCCAAGTATGAGGAGTGGGGTGCAAGGGGGCTGTTTTGCTTTTCCTCCAGCCTCTCTGGTCGTGCACAGGCACGCCGGGCATTGGTTAGGTGTGCGCGCACCCCAGGCGCACAGCTCCCCGTTTCTAGGATTTGCAACAGCAGTGCGCGTAATCCGTCCCTTCGTGCCCACGGTCCCCACACGGGGAATTGCCTCTGCGGCACATAGCGGACTCGAAGAGGGCATAAAGGGCTGACAGGAGTCCTCTCTCGAGAAGGGGAGAACACCCGTTCCCCAGCAAGCAGAGGCGGCGAGGGTTTGTTTACACGCGCACGCCCGTGCCCTCGAGCACACTCGTCTACAGGCATTTGGCTCGCGAGCGCTTCGCCCGGCTGGCCCCTCCTATGCCCGGAAAGGAAACTGATGCAATATCGATCGCCGATTATCAAATGTTCCTGGCCCGTCTTCCCCAACCGTGGCCTCTGTATACCAGAAGCCCGAACCCACCTCCTCTGCTCCCAAATTCCAGGACCCCTCGATTTAATTTTTTTATTAATGCAAATCAGTCACAAGACTTGCCGCAGCGGGGCCGCGGGCCGGGCTGGTTCCCCTCCCCCTAACGGGAGGATGCGGCTCCCCTCCCGGCGGGCACGCGGCCCCCACGCCGCGCCCCTCCCCCGTCCGGAGGAGGGCGGCGACCCCCTTACGGGCCGGGGTCGAAGACGGGCCCCGCCGACCACAAACGCCAGTCCTGGGAGGAAACGACCCCCGCAGCTGCCTTCCAGCCGCGGCCCCTCCCGGACGCCCCTCCCCCACTCCCGCTTGGGCCCGCGCCCTTTGCACAGACGCCCCCGCTTGCGTTACCTCGGTGGTCTCGGCTTTCGTATCCCGGAGACGTCACGAAAACGCCTTCAGTGGGGTTTTCTCAGCTAAACAAAAATCGCAAAACAAAAACAAAACCAAAAAAAAAAACCCAACAATAGGCAGGAAAAATAATTTTAGCAAAAAAAAGGAAATGGCAAATTGCCGCCCCAATCGTCCGGCGTCCGCCGTCTCAAGGGAAAGGCTCGAGTGTACGGGAACGCGTGGTTCGGCTGCCAGCGGTGCTGTGGGTAAAGTGCTCCAGGACGGCGGCGTCGCGCGGCTCTGAAGCTGCCCGCCGAGCAGCGGGTTATAGCGGCCGCCCAGGAGGACGCGTTAGGGGGCGGGGCCGCAGCCGCCGGGGTGCTGTCTCTTTGTATATCAACACCACCTGGGCTCCGCCCCCGGCCCGCCCGGGCCCGCAGGCCCCGCCCCGTCCCACCCCTCTACCCGCGGCCCAGTCGGGGCCGTAGCTCCGCCCGCTGGCGCCCCCCGCCCTCCGGAGAGCCAAACCCCACTCTCTCCGGTCTCCTAGTCAGCCCGGAAAGACCCCCCATGCTCATCTTGGCCTGTTCATGTCAACCTCGATATGTGCCCAACACATGCGGTTGTCTTTAAGGAGCCTTCTGCTTCATTTCCCTCCCGTCCGAGTTACCAGCAGTCTTTGCTTTCTCCTCCAGGCTTTTTGGGGACACATCCCGCCCACCCAACTCTCTCCTGCCTGTTATTTTGTGATTTACTTGGGGTTTTTCTCTCGCAAACTTGGACTAACGCAGCAACGTTGTCTCCATGGTCGATTTCTGTTCTCGTTCTTTCTTCTCTGTCTAGACCTGCTTTCACTCTTCAAAACTAGCCTGGTGGGGCCAGCTCCATGTCGGTCTATCCTTTTTGTATGAACGTGGAAAACCCTAGTAGGGGAAAAACTACATGCCGACCAGCAAGCCAGAGACCCTTTGAAAGGGGATCCCAGATGGGCCTCCGGGGTGGGGGGAACCGCTCTTCTGAGAAGGTGTAGGAGTTCCCAGTTTTCCTTTCGCAGACACATTTCACTCATTCCACCACCCCCAGGCCCAATTTGAGAGCACTTCTCACCTCGCCTTTCTTCCCTCGTATTTACAAAGGCGCTGCCTCCACTGGAATGCTAGTCTGGAAGACTTTCTCCCGACCGAGCCCGTCCTTCCCTTCCAGTGGTGATGTGGTCTTGCTGAGCCAGGCAACTAGGGGGCCCCTTCGCTGCGGAATACTCTGTGCTGCCGAAAGGCAAGAGTCCATCCCTTGCTGGAAACAAAGGCCCCTTAGGAGAAATGCTTGTTGAATGAATGAATAAACAAACGAGTTTGACCTACTGCTGTCTTCCTTTTGGGGACGTGGGAGAGATTGGGCAGGGCATAGAGGAAAGGGTTGGGTGTGATCACAATTTTTGCTTTCAATGTTTTCCTGAGGAAATCTGTACAGCTGTCTATTTCCGTGGCACGTGAGGCTGCGGATGCCCTGGGCCTGCACCAGTGTTCGTGATTGACAAGGGAGGACCCGATTTCCCCTTTGCACTCCTATGTTCTCCACCCCTTCTGGTGGTCAGACCAGTCTCACAGAAACAATATGCTTTCTTGCTTTAGTGCCCAACTTGCCCTCACCATCACCCAAGGCTTAGTCACAGAGCCTCAGGCTGCCCCCTCTTTCTGCAGGAACTCTTTTCTCAACCATGTGGTGCTGGACTTTTTAAACCTGTGCTGTCTTGTACTCAAAATTGTTGGAGTTTGTTTGTAGTCTGCTCTCCCCGGGGAGATGGTGAACTTCCCCAAGGCAGGTTTGGCATCTGACACACAATCAGGACTGAAAAAACTTACCTTTCTTCCACATTCTTTCCCTAATAACACCAATCAACTCTTCTTGTCAGGAGAGCAATCTTAGTGGTGGGTTAGAGAGGACTCCCTGCAAGTTTCTTTATATCAGGTTTCAACTGATAAAAATCAAAAGGTTTGAAACCACTTTTTCATCCAGGTGAGTCCCTTTGCCCAGTCAGATGTGCTAAGGAAGCCCTCAGGGTCTGTGGTTAGGGTTGGCAAGGTGCACCCTCACAGCTGGATCTCTTGTCCTTTGGACTTTTTGGTGGTTTGTACTGCCACACACACTTAGGCGAACCTGCAAAATTCAGGGTGTGTGTGTGTGTGTGTGTGTGTGTGTGTGTGTGTGTGTGTTAGTGCATATGTTGGGGGGAGAGGGCTGTAATCTTGTTCTGACTTCTGTATAAGAACCTGAACAGTAAATGACGAAAAAAGAGAAAAAGAGGGGGAGGTACTGAAACATCTGTTCTTTTATTGTTTTATTGAAAAACATCTTGTTTTTCAAAGGCCGATCTGAGGTCTATCTGCTAAGTCAAGTGACTTCCAATGGAGGCCTGATGTGCTTAGGTTTTTGCTGTTATGCTTTCAGTTAAAATGCATGCGGCACCATGCATTACTAAAAGCAAACCTAAGACAGAAAAATAATCACAAATATCGGTTGTCAACTTTAGATTTTCTTTTTTTAATTTTCATTTTTTATTTTATAGGGGGGGCAGAGGAAGAGAGAGAGAGAGAGAGAGAGAGAGAGAGGGAGAGAGAATCTTAAGCAGGCTCCACACTCAGCTCAGAGCCCTACAAAGGGCTCCATCCCACAACCTTAGAATCATGATCTGAGCCAAAATCAAGAGTTGGATGCTCAACCTACCGAACCGCCCAGGCGCCCCAGCTGTGATTTTCAGAAATGCATTGTCAAGGTAGGGTGTTAGAACTTTCTAGTGAGGATAGGTAGTTTTCTTCTGTAGAATTATGTGACCATTATCACCTGACAAAACACCAGGGGTTTGTTTCCTGAGGGCATAAGGAGTTAACTTTCCCAACCAGTTGTTAAACAACTGACCTTTAAGATGTTCCTCAAAATTCTATTTATCCAGCATTGTACTTTGCCTCAAGTGGGCTGAGATATTTACTTCTTTCTTCCCTACCATTTCCAACTACGGAGTTTCATTCTCAGGTGGGCTTTCGTGGCTTTCTTTGATCTGGCCGTGGCCTATATTTATAGCCCCCACCCTTAGTATTCCTTGTGGTAGGCAGCTCCCTGCCACTACCGTATGTCCAAACTCTATCTTTCCTTTGAGGTTCAGCTTGAATACCAACCTTTCATTAATTTTTCTTTATTTGATGCTATCATTTGAAATTGATCGCATTGTACTTTGAACTTCGTGCTTTAGAAGTATATTTTGTGGGACTTCTTTTTGTGATGTCTATGTACCAGAGTTTATGTTAGTGTCTTTTCAGGGTAGAATCTGGCTAATCATACCCAGCCTAGTCGCTTGTAAAGAGAAGGTCCTTTCTGAGTAGATGGATGAATTAAATAAGTTTTTTTCTCTATAATCACTAACTGAATTATATTTGTTTATTTACCTATTTATGTGTTTAGCTCCCTCACTAGAATGGAAGCTCCTGAAGGCTGGAATTTAATCTTGTGAAAAGTAATAAACGAAAACTTTACTATATGGATTGGGGATGCTAGAAGGGGAGGTTGGTAGGGGGTGCTGGTACCACTCAGTGACAATTACGGAGAAGAATTGTCAGTTACAGACCAAACAGAAGAATTCTCAACAGGAAAGAATCATCATTTACAGGCCCCAACATGAGAAGAAGTACATTGCATCTACTATAAGAGGTTAACCACCCCTGTAACTCAGCCGATGAGAAACTGTCATCACTTGAACTCTTGCTTCTCTCCAATGGACTTTTGTTCAAAACAACCCCTCCCAACTTCCTCCTTCTTCTCCATAAAATAAGGTTCCTCTCTTTTGTTTCTTGGACTTGCCTATGGTTTTGCCTTGACTTGCCTGTCCTGGATTGTAATTCTCTGCCATTCCCAAATAAACCCATTTTTGCTGGTAAAGTAACTGGCAGTTTTATTTTTAAGGTTAACAGTCTGCTTTGATCACTGTTAGTGCCAGCACCCAGAACAGTGCCTGACAATACTTTGTCGAATGAATAAATGGAGGAGTAAAGAGTTTGTGAGGTTTTCTAGGACCAGGAGGAAACATATTATCTAGTGTGTCTATAGGGCATCTCTCTCATCCATTACTGGCCCAAGCAGAACTCTTGATTTCCCTAGCAAAACTGTTCCTCTCCCATTTTTATGATTTAGAAGAGTAACACCACCATGCATGACTTCCTCATGGGGCCTTAGGCCCCAGACCAGGGAGTCATCGTGAGCCGTTCTTTTCCTCAAATAGCCAATCCATCAGCAAATCTTGAGGGCTCTGCCTTCAAATAAATTCAGAATCCTGCCACTTCTTACTACCTCCACTGCTCTGGTCCTAGTCACCTCTCTCCTGAATCACTGCAAAAGCCACAGTCTAACTCATCTCTGGGCTTCCATTCTTGGTGCTCACAGTTCATTCTCCCCCCCCAGCAGTCGGAAAGATCTCAGAATATAAATAAAATCCCTTGCTTAAAGGGATAAATTATTTCCCTTACTTAAGGCCCTCCAGTGACTGCTTTTCACAACCAGAATAAAATTCCCTATTTCTCATTCACCATGGCATTGCCTGGTTGTGCCCTTGCCTACTTCCTCAACCTTACCTCCTACCACTTTTTCTTTTCCCCACATACTAGCCACATTGATTTTATTTCTGTCCCTAAAACACTCTAAGTTATTCCTTTTTCAGGGTTCTGCTCTTGCTCTTTCTTCTGCCTAGAAATCTCCTTGCCTGGATCTGTGTGGTGGTCTTCTCATCACTTAGGTCTCAGTTGAAATGTTACTTCCTCAAAAAACAAAGAAAGAAAAAACTTCCTTGACCATTCCCTAGCAAAAGTTGCCCCTTGCATGAAATCTCCATTTCACCACCGTCCTATGTTATTTTTGATTGCATTTTTTTCATGGTATGAAAACATATTATTTGATCATTTGTTTATTTGCTTATGATCTCCCCCTTCCTGCCTCTCTGCCAGACCCCTTTGTGAAATAACTCCAAGAGGAAAAGTCCTTTGTTTTGCTAATCACTGAATCTTTAGTGCCTGGAACAGCACCTGATATACAGAAGGAGTTCTGTGAATTAGTGAATTCGTATATTTAACTCAGTGCCTAGCAAACAAGAAACTGAATAAACATCTGTTGCAATAGCTTGATGGTGGAAAAGGGCAGGTTTTTCTTGAACCCAGTCTTCTGTAAGCCGGTGTGAGAACTGATCCCAAGACTTGCTTTCTAATGGCTTCATTTCACCTAATTAATATGACCTTTTGCAATGTACAGAGGCTGACATTCTTGTCTGGACAGTATTATTCAAAATTCTGGTCCTGATATTAGCATTGTGAGGAAATACCCTTCCC